GAGGAAGATATAAGGTTCTGTTTCTAGCTCTTCTGGCCGCCTCGACCATAGGCACATCGTGCTGTTGTAGAGTTTCTCTGATGTTATCCTTCCATATTGTTCTTGGTCTACCTCGTGCTCTACGTCCTTCTTCTCTTTCTATGTATGCTTTGTATGGTATGGTGTCACAAGGCATTCTCTCTAAGTGGGCAAACCATTTCACTTGCTGTCTTTCTATGTAATTTAGAATTGGTTCTGTGCCGACTTTTTCTCTTATGATCTCATTCCTGATCTTATCTCTTATGGTCACTCCTACAGCCCTTCTCGGACATCTCATTTCCATGGTTACTAATTTTCTTTTATGGTTTGTTGTGAGTGACCATTACTGGCACTGGTAGCACAGTGTTGAAATAAATATGCTTTGAATAAGATGTCTTTTTGTGCTGATTGGGATTGTCTTATGCTTTAAGAGTGGGGGCTAGCTGTCCCAATACTTGGTTTGCTTTACTGCATCTAATGTTAATTTCTTTATCCAATTTCCCATCTTCGGTAATGACCAGAACTGCAAGAACAAAATGTTTAAAGAGTATGGTCAGAAATGAGCACCATGCAGAAGCCAGAGAAGAATAAGAAACAACAGAGAACTGGTGTCGTGAGTCGATACCCGCTGCGGGATTTACTAAGCCGGGGAGCCGAGCACTTATGAACTGAATGATTCGATGTGCAATGAAGATAATCTGTCCACTAACTAACCAACTGAAACACCAAACATGTATTAAAATTGTATTACTAGCCTTTTTTTTTTTAATTAAAAAAAAAAAAAAAAAGTTCCTTTTTGAGGACTTTCAGGTACATGATTTGACCGGAAGTCACGCTTAAAGAACCAACAGTAATCTCTCATAATATGGCTGTCTCAAAGTTCCTTGATCTCTCTTCCATTGTTTGTATATCTTGGTGAAATCTTTCATCCTGCTCCTCACTAAGTCGCCAACAATCAGACAGTTACTAGTACCATCGAAATTATAACTCTGTGCTTGCTGCTGAAGATGGGGATGGGGCGCTTATGGGAATGTTCCGAGTGCTATGATGTCGATTTTTAACTGAACATTCACCTATAGTGGCCAAGATTCTCGGGAAAGAAATCCTAATGGTTATGGAGGTAGTAAACTTTTAGGCTCAAGTTGCAAACAAGCTTACAAACACTTGAAAGCGTATTTCAGACTAATTCAGAATAACTGACTACTTTTAAGTTACCTAGAAAGTTTCGCACAACTTAAACAAATGATTACCAGGTTGTGGACTCGAATCAATAAAATTTAGATCGCTTATTAAGTTTTCAATTGGTATTTCACCAATAATTTCAGCTTTAGGTTTGTTTATGCTCAATTCCCTAAACTTGCTGTATTAAGTAATTAAAACCGCTGCCATTTTTGTCCAGTGCTTACAAACTGCTTGGATTGGATTGGCTTTTTACCCCACCAGGACATCACACAAGCGATAAACACCCGATGACACAAAGTGCCACCATGCGGATGAGGATCACCGTGGAGAGGTCCCAGAAACCGCGTTCAGACATTTGGCCATAATGATGACCTGCCTATATTGCGGCCCCTGGCAAAAGCCAGAGTGGGGCTTCAAATAAAAAATAACGTCCTAAAAAGGACGTAAGCTTTACCAAGCCACACTTTTATACTGGCAGCAGTATAACTTTTTTTTCGATAAATGAGAGGCTTGTTGTCAATATTTCGTTTCTAAAACTTCAAATTAACCCCTTATTGGCTACTGTTTCTTTGTTCAGTGAGTATCTTTGCCCTGCTATCAAACAAACATTTAAAACAAGGGTATTTGGTAAATCCCCTTTGCCGGCCAAGTAAGAAGTTCATCCTTTAACGAACTATGTCTGTACAAACAATCGCGTTTAATTCTAAATACTTTCCCCAGAACTTTGCTTGTTGTCGCATACTCTTCCTTGGTAGTAGAGGAATGACCAATTGGAACTGAGTCATATTGTACTGTTGTCTAAAAGAACACATTTCAAACGTCTTGTAGAGGTGTCAATGACTCATCTGGTGTATGACTTACACCCGCTTCGTTTACAATACCCCCCTACATTAGTAACACAACACAAGACTGTTTTCTGTATACAAGAATGGAAGAAAATCTTGCTTTAATTTAGCAGTGAGTTTTCTTTATAAACTGGATTATCTTCACAGCTCTCCGGACACATCCATTGGGGCTCAGATTCTCCCTTCAACATATCCATCAACGACGCACGGTTAATAGTACAGTCCTATGCTGGTTGACAAGACTTTTTATGCGTCCAGTGTGCCTCTCATGCTTGGCTGTGACGATCTTTACTCCGAATTCTCGTATTCTTAGCAGCGATGTAGACACCTGGCTTCCAAAAGTCTGCGTGATCATTACGCCGGTCAACTGCAAGTATTGCGGAAACTGCTAGTCTAAGACCTCTTTCATTGCCAACAACACCTGCATGCCCTGGGACATAAATAGGCAGGAGAGTAACTGCATAGACAGGAGATTTTTGCAATGACTCGATCTACGGTCTAGGCATGAAGTCTGCATCGACCGCCGAATTATGCTCATATCAGCACACACTTGAAGTACGCTTGAATGCGCGATTGTACGCCAAGGAAATTCCTCCATCCCATGTCCTCCCATTTGTGGACGTCGAAATGTTTGTCTTTGAACAGGACAATGCTAGACTATTTATTAACGGATGCAGACAGAAAACACAACATTAAATTAAATAACGTGTAAGTATATGTGAACGTGGAATGAGCAGAAGACCCGGTGGTCATGTACGCATGAAAAAAAAAAAAAAACCACGTGTGTATGTATAGTCAGTGTGCTATAAGAATAGATACACCTTGAGACCTGCGGCAGGAAGCGCAGTATCTATTGGTAAGAACGATGTGTTATGGTGTGTCCATTCTCGATTCCCCCGAGATAATACCATCTTTCTTGATCCTCTGAGTGTCAACTTTTCTAATCCAGTCAATATTTCTGCTTTGGTTGGAGGACAACATTTATCGGTCATGAGATGTATAGTCTTCTTTAATGTGCCTGCCATAACGGCGTCAGTCTTTCTATACGAAAACAAACTAGTCTCAATTTATATTTTTCTCCTAAAGCAGCGGTTCTCAACCTGCGGGTGGCGACCCTTTGGGGGGTCGAACGAACCTTTCGCATGGATCGCCTAAGACCATCGGAAAATACATATTCATTGAAGTTAAAAAGGAAAATAATTGATTGTTGGTCGCCAAAACACGAGGGAACTTTATTAAGTGGTAACGGCATTAGGAAGGTTGCGAGTCACTATCCTATAGGATGTAATTTATCTTTGATCCTTTCAGCTTTTCTTATTTTTTTTTATTTTTTTTTTTTATAATTGGACTTTGGTTGGCCTCAAAAAATCTTCAGCATACTCGTTTGCCATCAACATGCTTCGACATCTTCGGTTGCCGCCATTTCTCAATATCTTCTATCGAATTCAGTATTCCCCAACAGGTTTGGTTGCTATCAACATTCCTATTGTTTTCAGCTCCCGTCTACATTCGTCTATGTCTTCTGCTGCCACCAACATTGCAGGGTCTCCGGTTGGGTGTCAACAATTCTCGCCCCCCCCCCCCCCTCCAATACTATTGACAAGCTATTTTTTGACCTCGTGTGACTGGCATCGATTTTTCTCGGCTCTGATGAGGGTGACAAGCAGGATTGTTTGGTAACTGAGCCAACATACTATCATCGAAAGGTAATAAACCCATCTCAAGCACACTTTTCCATCTCTCAAACTTCACTGACGTTGGTATCACTCTCGCTGAATCCTGGTATCTGGTGACTAAATGTGCCGCCATTTGTTCTAGTCAAGTAGGTCTCAAGCGGAAGTGCGTGATGTACATTTGTGTTACTACTGCGCATGTACGTGTTGTAATTCCCGTTGTTATGGCGGCGGCCGTAGCCTGTTGCATGCTGGGAGTTGTTAAGGAAGCTGTGAGAGGTACGGGAGACGCTGCCACAGGCAGGTCTGGCGTAGGTGTTGTGTCGACATCGAATGGCGTCCATGAAACGTCGTCTAAAACTGGACATACTGTAAATAAAATGAAAGCAAAACACATTAGGAAGTCATAAATTGCCATGGTTTAAATTATAGAACTGCAAAAGACGTGTACATTGCATACGTTAAGAAAGTGTTCGGATACTGACAAAAAACGCTAATGGTCCCAGGAATATTTTTTGAATAAATAATTTTCCCGTTTGGGTTCCGGGGCTCAATTTTGGAGAACAATTATTAGATTCGCTGTCCATCTAACAAACATTTTGTACGAGGCGACTCATTGTTGGCGTTTTCCTTTAAGTGGGAGTTCATTTGTTGGAGAGAAAAGGAACCCACAGTCTGAATACAAATAAGCCAGACTGAGAAGAAGATAAAATCAGTTTGATTATTTAATGACCAGATTGAAGCCACCTTCTTGGAATATGTGTGTAGTACACCTGCAAAGATGGAAACAGGTCATAATAAGACCCAGATTCATCAACCACACAGCAGGAAACAACAACAACAACAACACAGCAACAACTACAACACAGTCAGCATCAGCAGTAACACAATCATTAGGATAACAATAGCCCCGGCAGCTGTACCAAAACACCTGCATCAGCAGCAGTAGCAGCAGTCTCACCAACAGAAAAAACAACAACAGCTGATTCATATAAACAGAAGCAGTAATAACCGCGTCCGTGGCTGAGGCGTTGCGAATACAAATGTTGGTTTCGACAGTGGTATCGAGAAGCCGACAGTCCAGAAAGCAATGGCAAACTAATGGACGTAAATTTGAGTAGAAAAACCATCACAGCCAAAACATGCTGGGATTGGTTCTGCAATGATCAGTAAAGGATACACAACTTTTACCTAGTAATAACAATACACGGAGAAAACAGCAGCAAACGTCAACAGTAGTAGCAGCACATAAAAATAAACTTCAACAGACATACAACAATCA